GAGACTGTGGACTCTGAGAGACAAACTGAGGGTTGGGGGGGGGCAGTTGGGTGAGCTTGGTGGTGGGTATTGTGGAGGGCATGTATTGCATGGAGCACTGGGTGTGGTGCATAAACAATGAATTCTGTTACACTGAAAAGAAATTAAATAAAAAAAATCATTGTAACTCACCACATTAACAAAATAAAGAGAAAAACCATGTGACCATTCAAATAGATGCAGAAAAAGGCATTTGCTAAAATTCAATCCCTATTCATAAAAATAAAAACACAAACTAAAAGAGGAGGCAGTTTTCTCAACCTATTAAAGGGCACTACAAACACTACAGTAAACCTCATATTAAAAAGTCAACTTCTGAACACTTTCTTCCTGAGACTGAGAATGAGACAAAGATACCTTGCTATCACATTTCTATTCCACATTACACAGGAGGCCCTGGCTCAGAGAAACTGCCTAACATTATTGAAAACTATTAAAGAATGCCTAATTAAAAGGAAGGATGTATCATGCTCATGAATGAGAGCGTGCCAGTTCACCTGGAATTGATCTATACATTCACTGCAATTCCAGTCAAAATCAGAGTAAGTTGTTTGGGGGGGCGGTGTGTGTATATATGTAAATAGACAAGCTCTTTAGATATGCAAAGGAACAAGAATAGCCCAGCAATCCCAAAGAAAAAGAACAAAATTGAAGGAGTGGCCTTTTTGGCTATCAGGATTTATGATATAAAGTTAAAAAGTTATAGTAATTAAACCAGTATGGTACTGGCACAAGAACAGACAAGCCAATGGAACAGAACACAATCCAGAAACAGACCCATACATACACGGTCACTTGATTTACGATAAGCAATGGGGAAAAGAAGGCCTTTTTTACTAAATGATGCTGGGTCAACTGCATATTCATATAAAAAGTGAATCTTGGCTCCTTTGTTATGTCATGTATAAAAAATCTGTTCCAGGTGATTTTTAATCTGAAAGATCAAACAGTAAAGATTCTAGAATAAAAAACAGCAGAATATCTTCATGAACATATAATGGGCAAATTTTTTTAAACAGGACACTAGCAGTGCTAACCAAAATGGAAAGGATTAATGGACCCTATTAAATTTTGGACTTTCTATTGATCACAAGGCCCCATTAAGAGAGTGAGATGGCAAATCACAGACTGGAGAAGGTATTTGTAATATATCTAACCAAAAATAGACTTGTTTACAGAAATCAAGAATTCCTATACATCAATAAGAAAAAGACAATCTAAAAGACAAATGGGAAAGACATTTCACAAAAAAAGGATGTTCAAATAGCCAATAAACACGAAAATGTGTTCAAGCCTATTTGGCCTCAGGGAAATGCAAAATTAAGAGCATGATTAACTAGCACTGCAAACCCAAATAACTGGCCAAGACGAGGGTCTGAGTAGTAACTGCTGGCAAGGATTTGGAGTGCCTGCAAGTCCCAAACCGTGCTGGCAAGAGTGTGTTGGTGCAACCACTTTGTAAAAATACTTGACACCAGCTCCTAAATGCAAACCCATTCAGTTACCCAGAAATTTCCCTCTTCGGTCTGCACCCTACAGAAATGTACACACAGATCCACCAAATCACATAAAAGAACTTTTCTAGCAGCACCACTGCTGAGAGGGCAAAACTGAAAGCAACCAATATTAAAATGGACAGATAAACTGTGGCATCTTCATAAAATTGAGTAATATGCAGTATTAAGAATAAGCAAAGAATCAAACCATGGTTTGAATGAATCTCACAAACATAATGTTAGCAAAAAGTCAGATGTGAAAGGATACATACTGTGTGATTTCAATGATAAAATGATCAAAACAGGGCAAAGCAATGGACAGTGATGGAAATCAGAAGTGTGATGTCCTGACTGGAGGTGGTAACCGGACCACACGAGGGAGGTTTCTGCTCAGAATCTATTTCTTGACCCAAATGGTGCCTAAGTGAGAATAATCTCCTGAACTCATCTAAAATTATTGCTTAAAAAATAAAAGAACGTAGCAGGTGTACATGAGAGCCATGTACATCATGCAGCTAGAGGAAAAAAGTCAACTATAGTTCACCAAACATGATTCTATACCAGTAACAAAACAAAAAGGTGAATTACAGATCCAAAATAAATCTGTGAGGGATTTATTAACAACGTTTACCTTTTTCATGCTTATATTGTGTTATTTTTTGCCTTATGAAATGTTTGGATTTGTAAAAAGGTGAGCCTTAGTTACACATTTGAGAACAAAAGATAGTAAACAGTTAAAATACAGGTTTTCGAGCTGAACATTCTACAATACCAAAGATGTCCCCTGGGGCAGGGCACTGCGGTGGCCTAGACAGTGACACGTGTCTGTGGTACCCAGTAGCTAAGTTTTAGCTGCTCTGGTTCTGGGCTTTCTAAGTGAGCAAAAGGGCAGATCGCTAAGATGAGCAGGTCCTTTATACTTGATGGAAATGTGCTTCCATCAGCTTCACTCAACTTGTACTCAAAGGAGCAGATTCTGTGCAGTCATCTGTGGAACATTCATGGAGAAAAGGTAAAACCCTGAAAGGTCACCACGCAGATGCCCAACTCAAGTCCAAAGAAGGGATGTGGCACAGCAGATACGGCAACGGTATCATCATGCATTATTTTACTTAACAAAAGACGGCGAAGAGAACTACAATTTGCCATGTCTCATGTATAACACTTGACAGGCTTACCTGCAAACCTATTGACTGGGAAGACAAACTCTAACTTCTGTCAATTTTACTACCAGACACCCTTTCAGATAATCACATTTTCCTCAATAAAGTTATATGACTAATTTAAAATTTCTACCATCCCATCTTACTTTTAATCATTATTATGGTGAAAGAAAGACAATCGTATGTCTAAGAAGTATTCTTGAAAATTATGGGTATATTTTTAAATTTTATATCTGCCAGGAATAGCTATTGTGAATAAAATGATTTAGGAAACAAAGATGTTTCCAAGTAAAAACTGAAAACACACCCAAGATATGAAAAACGCAAGCTGCACATGCATGTGTACACACGTACGCACAATCTGTGAATATTAGAAGTACAGCATTTCCCCTCATAGGAGAAATGGAGAACACATTTTAGCCCATTTTCCTTTTTAAAAAAGTACTCTGATGAATTAAGAAGGTGTTTATTCATATCTATACCCAAAACAACAATAAGCGCAAGAACTTAGAATTTATGCTCAGATTTATAGGCTTGCAAAAAATAAAAGCAAAATAGTAAATAATTGTTTAATGTCACAATCACACCCTGAACTCTCCCTTCTCTGCGACAGCTTTCATTCAGAGCAACTTCCTCTTTTTTCTCTATAAAGCAATGTTCCTCTCTTTGGTTCTCTGGATTTGCCCATGCTTTTACCAGAGATGGCTTGTCCCTAATTACAATTCCTTGCTATTCCTCAGTAAACTCATTTTGCTGGTAAAATAACTGGTTGTTTTATTTTTAAGGTCAGCATTATAAACCTTTTAAAAGTGATGCAGGAAAGAATAAGTACACAGTGAACAAGTTAGAAGAGATTTCATCTTTCACATTATGCAAATGCATTTTACTAGTGATATTTTCTATTTTTATAAGGATGATCCTCATTACTACTTTTACTATGTGAATTACAAAATTGACTGTGTATCTGTTTTAACAGGAACATATACATAATTACTCTGTGGAGATATTTTCAAAAGTGTCAAAATATGAATTAAAACACTGACACGTTTTAAGGGCTCCTTATACGGCTCCAAAACACATGTTGTTTACAGAACGGAGGCTCTGTAAGATGGATTAGAACATTTGTATGGAGCAGTTTCTAAAATATCAGTCATTTATTTTATTTAAGGCAACGTTCAGATCTGATGATATTACCCAGAAATGCTTCTGGTTAGGGAGCAAAGTGTAGATGCACAATGAAACCAAAGTAACTTCACCGCCTTCCATTTTCTTCGGAAAAGATTCCTCCTCCCTTTGTGGCTGAGATGGAATCAGGAGTCGTTCAGCCGTGAGCTGAGCTTGGTGCCTGCCTGGAGTGAATGGGTTAGCTCTGCTCAGAGAGGTCAGAGCTCTTTTTGGACAATGACTGCCAAGCACTCTTTCTTCCTTAAGGAAAGGCTAATAAGCAATCATATTGGAGAGGAGTGCAGTGCTACCGAGTTGTTTTAATTTGCTGCATTTTTTACCAAGTCAGCAGAAAACTCACTAATTTTCTTTTCCTCTGTAGGAGAAACAGGGCTCCTGCCGTGTTCTGGGAGATACAAACATGCAAAACTACTATGGCTGAAGACATAGGATACTCATTACAAGTCACCAATGTTTTCATCTGATTGAATAAAAATTATTGCACTAAAAGAACACAACTGAGGGGAAACTTATTCCTTAGCTAGCTTGCTACAGTATAACCTCAAAATTGTAGATGCAATTCTGTCTAAAAGAGCGAAACTTATTTGGAAAGAAACAGAATTAAATGAAAACATGCAATTCTTTTTCCTACACTAATAATCCTTCAGCTTTTAGTTTTAATTTTAAACAAAGCTTCCCGCCCCCGCCACCCCCCTGCCGCCCAACAACTTTCTTGGGTGTCTTAATACTTAGATACATTTCCCAGTCCCTTAACATATAAAAAAGCCATGAGATGCTCCTTCATGCCCTAGGCAGATGGTAGAGAAGTTCCGCCACTGAGACCTTTACTTCGATAGGTCTTGATTTGTCTTATCACGAATGAGGATCACAGAAATTACAGTCTAGTCCTTTCACTTTAAAAATGAGAAAATTGAGGTTGGGGTGGAGAAGTATTGGAACCTACTTGTCTGTAGGGTTGGGACTAGAACACAAATCTCTTCTTGTCTCGTCAAGCTCTTTCCACTATCCCCTCCTGGAATGATAAAACCAACCCGGCAAACAAATCAGACATTCTTCACAACAAAAAGCATAGTCTGTGTTTTTGCTAGTGTTTTTTGTTTTTTGTTTTTTGTTTTACCTCTGAAGAGATTATCCAAGTCAATATCTTCTTTTCCTTTGATTTTCAAACACTTTGCCTGCTGTACAAGTCTGGGCAAAGAACAGAAATAAAATCTAGATTCATTATCTGGTGAGGTAAGAATAAATCATGACAGAAGCACAAATTTAAATAGAAACCACAGGCTAAACAATAGTGAATTTGCAGGTATTCTGCTGCACAGAGCCTTGTTACAATTCTTCTTCAGTTTAAGATTTTAAAAAGGTATTTTCCGTCAGAAAATCTAACTTTGAAACCTGCAATCTGAAAGCTCTTCCCCTCTCCAACCCCCCTTCAGTCTGTTACAGCAGAAAGTTTCTAGAACTCTCTGGGGGATGATCCCTTCAGGTTCTGAGAAGGAGCTATCAGGGATGATAATGGATGGTATGGTTAGCAAGAGGGTAAATAGTAACTGCTACTGATGATTTTAGCTCTTATTTTAATCAGAAGATTATAGACATAGACATTGTGCTTAAACAACTGTATAAAGTAATTTAGTTACACAGTTGAATGTCAGAGAATTAATTAACTTTTAAAATGCTCCTGTATGCAGTAAGGACTAATTTTGTAACTATTCCGTCATGCAACTTTATTAAAAACTTGAGGCTCATGGTTTGTAATGAATATGGAAGTTTCTAAAATGAAACTTTTTCCAGTCTTGCTAATTACTAAGTATCATTTTGAGTAGAGAAACCTTGAAATCGTTGATTAATTTATCTGTATGTATTTATGATTTTCACGAAAATTGTAATAGCTTGCTTTGCAAATGCATTTTCCTATTGCACTTGTACAGCAGCTCTCTTCTTTTATCCTCACTGACAAGCTTTCAAGTACTGTTTCAATTTTTGATTTAGATGAGGACACTGATTCAGTCACCAAAACCTTACACAGGAATCGAAGTGACTTATACATAATTGGAGGTAATTTTGTCTATTTATGACATTATATTTATAATCTCTGTCATGGTAAAAACATATTCTATTAGATATATATATTTTTACCATTAGACATTTTAAAAAAGATTTTACTTATTTATTTGGCAGGGGGAGCAGCAAGCAGTGGGAGCGGGGAGAAGCAGGCTCTCTGCTGAGCAGGGAGCTGGATGCAGGGCTTGATCCCAGGACCCTAGGATCATGACCTGAGCCAAAGGCAGATGCTTAACTGACTGAGTCGCCTAGTTGTCCCGTTAGATAATTTTTAATCAAAAATCAAAGACACAGAGGAAGAATTTCTTCTGCTATCCCACCGTGGATCTTAAAATGAAGGCCTAGATAGCTACTTGTGGGGCACCCTTGCTCTGGGTAGTGAAGCTGCAGTATAGTGGGGAGACCAGCACCCTCAGCAGAGAAAACCTGCATCCAGGCTCTAGGCTTGTACCCTGGAGCTCATCTCTAAACTCTCAGCTTAGGTCTCAGCTTCCCAATGTGCAAAATGGAGACTGAACAATTTGTGAAACTCTGTATTATAAAATAGTTTGCAAACTTTTATTTGGCACTGATGTGTACAAAAATGTGAAGAATACTTTCATTAATCAATATGCTTAATATTCATTATGCTCTGCATATATACAGATCATCAGGATTTATTTATCTCTTTGTAGGAAAGAATATGAGCAATAGAAAGAGGGCTTGGATTTAAGCAGTGAACAGCTGGTGGAGAGAGCTGGTCAACATGGAAAGCCAGAGGCACAGTGTGCGCACTCAATAGCCATGGTGTCGTCATTTTGCAAAGAATAAAATGGAAAAAAGTACCATTTTAGTCTGCTTATATATTTTGGCAAATATTTGTTTGGGTATATTCCCCCAAACTTTACAAATCTGATGAAACTGAGTTGATTTTCAAACCATCTTAAAAGCATCCCTTTACAATAGATCCTGATGAAGATCTTGATTCTATCTTCAAAATTTGAGAAATAGAAGCTAGGATGCCTTATATAACTTTGATGGGGACTTTAAAAAGCAATTTAAAAATAAATGAAATAAATTTACTGAGTGGCTTTAAAATAAAATTCCAGGCACTGCCATTAACCACAGACATATTTCAGTACAGTCTTGCTTTCAAAGTGATTACATCACTAGGGAGATACACCAAGTCAACCCCTGTAATCAGTTCAGGCTCAGTAACATTTCTTGAGGGAGACAGGCACCTTCTAAGGACCCCAGACTCTTCACTCTGTTCACCCTCATTTCATTCTCACAAAAGCTCTATAAGGTAGAGGTATAAGACCCTGGATATAAATAAATAAACGGAGGCTAAGAGACACTAAACCACTTTTCCATCTTGGTGAGTCAGTGGTGAGACGCAGACTTAAGTCTGCAGACTCCAAATCCAGGTTCCCCCTACTCTGTGCATCACTGTCCAGGGCTTGCAGAGCACTCACAGAAGGCATCAAGAAGGTGTCACAAGGCACAGCAAAAGAAAGGGAGAGTCAGGAATGCTCCTGACAGCTGGAGGGAGAGACGGCCTGGAGCTAGGCAGGAGGGGAACTCCGTGGAGGATGCAATTGGGTCTGGTCCTAAAAGAACAGAGACGTGCAGGACCGGCGGGCTTGTAAAGTTCTAGAAAATTAAGGTGGGAGAAAAGCAGGAACTGCAGCAGACCAGGCATCAGCACAGTAAGAGAGAGGATGTTTGGCAGCCATGAAGAGACTCGTCAACCTACTGGGCCGACGCACCTGCACTGTGCAGGGAGAGGAGGGCTTGGAGGTGAGGCTAAAAGACCAAGCTGAAGCCAAGTCGTGGAGAGCCTTGCACGCTGTTCTCAAGTATTGGACTTCCTCTTGCTGGCAGAGGAAATGTGATTGAAGTGTTGCATCTGGAAAGAGTCTCCTGCACACCGGTGGGCAGCAGAAATGTTTGGTCATGATTAGGCCAGTGATGTGCCAAAGATTATTTGTTTGTATTTTAGCTAAAAAGGCCATACCATTGAAATCTCCAGGTATTACTCTTTCAATGGTAATTCTGCTTGAAACCTGGCCCATACCTTTCATCATAGTTCCAGGTGCTCCAAACAACCTTCAAAGTCTTTTATTAATGCGATTGCTGGTGCAGCAGAAATGTCAGGCTAGTGTGTGTCTATGTACCCCTGATTACCTCTACACAGGAGTGCACAACTTAGAGAATCACTGCTTCTGTTGGGGAGACTGGCCACTGTCATCCTATAGTCTCTGCTACTCCCACTGATTTTCCACTTGCCTTGTCCTTTGGATTTTGCTACTTCCAGTGAAAAAAAAAGGGGCTGCATGCTCTCTGACCCCCTTTCTATGCTGCTGCTACCTTTAACAAGGCAAGTTAGTGGCTGCTGGTTTCTGGGCTCAGTGAATGCTAGGCCCTGAACTAGATGTCTAACATGAAGGGGGCAGTATTACTCTTATATCTATGTGCTAAAAAACACAAAGAGGTTAAATAAGTCACACAGTAAGCTGAAGACCTAAAGTGGAAAAATCAAAATTTGGAGTTAAGTCAGCTTAGTCTATGGAGTCAGATGCTGTCTAGAACAGGACTTGCCAACAGCAGCCTGTGAGTCAAATCCTGCCCATCGCCTGCTTCTGTGAATGGAACTGTAGTAGAATACAGCCTTGCTCATTCATTACTTACTGTCCGCGGCTGCTTTCCCACTACACTGGGCAAGCTGAGAACTATAGTAGAGATCGTAAGACTGGCTGAGCCTAAAATATTTAGTCTCTGGCCCTTTAGAGAAAAGGCTTGCTGACTCCTGTTCTAGCAGTAAAGGAAAAGTTTCCTAAAGCCAAAAATATACATATGACATGTGATGGTTTTACATACTACCTTTTCACAAAATTGCCTTAGTAACTGTAGTTAGTTATCACTTAGAATAGGGCTTCAAAGGCAAATATTGAGCTCTGACTTTTTATTTTTTAAACGGATTGCCCAGGTCCAATCAGTGTTTCCTTAAGGTTTTCCTACAAGCAGGTATTACATTCATTTCATTCAAACTCATTCATGTAGCTTTACCTACATGCAGGTAATATTACATTCAGCCAAAATGGTATCTGCCACCAAGAGACTCAGAATCTACCAAAAGATACAGATGGGTGCAGTGCCAACTTTCACACAAAGCAGATTGAGAAAAGGGCTCCAGGTAGAGATGAGAAACTGCTTTGGTATGACAAAGTAGGAGTGGATTTTCTGCTTAAAAAGGCCAGTGAGATCAGAAAAACCTTTCAGGAGGAGGGGAGTTTGTGTAGGCCTCCAAGCAAGTTTTACTAAGGGAAGTGTGAAGACGAACGTTGCAGAAATACTGGCAGGTGGCGGGTTGGCTGGGGGAATAATGCATGCTAGGTGCGGTGTGTGATGAGGTGAGATGTGCAGGCTGGGGATGTGTCATGAGGACTGCAAGGGCTTTCTACACACGTATGTATGGATTCTGTGTGGGTGTGTGTGTGTCCACTTGTATGTGTGTTTGTATATGTGAATTTAGTTATAGTAATGTAAAATAACTCAAGAACCTATGAGACTCTAATCTAAGGACAGAATCATACAGTATGGTTTATAAATAAAATATGATTCAACTTTTAAAACTACTGCATTATCAACCATCAATAAATAACATACATATGAAAATGTTTATTGCAGCATTATTTAAGGAGGAAAAATACTGGAAACAACCTGAGTATCTGTTGATTGGGGAGTTAGTTGAATAGATTAGAGTATGTCTACGCTATGAAAAATGATACGTTATTTAAAACAATGCATTGGACCCATTTGTGTGAATATGACAAATTACCCATGACATACTGTTAAATAAGTAAAACATATTTTTAAGCTAGTATCTCTTATTGTCAGACTTTAAGCCAGCAAACAATATTTTTACATGGGAGTCCATAAGAGACAAGGAAAATCTGTTTTTTCTTTTTCTTTGTGAGCAGACTTAGTTTTTTTAAGTCTTTAAAACTTTGCCATATAAAAGTAAAAGTCCAAGACCAGACTATTTTTCTTCTGGCCACAAATGCTGACTTCCTGTGCCTTGTTCAGGTGCCTTGTTCAGAGTGCCATTGTAAACTTGGGATAAAAATATGTGTGCATTTTATTAA